GACTCGGGATGTACAAGGAATATTGGTGTTATTTATATTACTGTACCATCTAGAGGCCCTAAGGTATGATCAAGGCCTTTCTATGCTAGGTGTTGGAGAGACATATAATAAAAAACAACCCCTTTCCCCAACAGCTTACTAGCATGTAAGACTGGGGCCACCAATGTCTTCCAACTGCAGATTCCACAAATTGTCCAGCAGCGGTGCATGAAAAGTGCTTTCTTCTGTGAAGGTTTATGCAAAGTTAAGAAGGCACAGTGTGATGGAAGATCAGGAAATTGGGTCTTGAGTCAAAGCGCTGAAGCAGATGAGTAATTCCATGGGGACTCATGCTTTGCTGAATTGGTACTTCACAGATATAGGCAGAGACCAAGCAGAGCACCACCACAAGGACAGCAGGGAACAAATTCCATGGCTCCTCACCGGACAAAACACTTTATGCAGGTTTTAAAAAGCAGCCAGAATAAACGTGGCTCACCATGGTAGCCCTCGCAGACAAAACAGTAGAAAACCCTCCCCTTAAAATTCTGTTAGATGAAGGGGAGTGGGAAGAAGTGTGGTTTATAATAGAAAAATAATTACAGCCTAAGAATTTTTTCTGTTTAAATATGAATGCTTTTATTAACCCCCTAATACACATACAGCCAAGATCTCCTGAAGCAGAATGCAAGGCTGGCAATGGATACAGCTGTGATGGCAGGTGTCAAAAAGTGAACTGCCTGGGTTTTATTAAGTGTACACACTGAGATGACATTCACGGTAGCAAGCATTTCACAAGCATGACTTGCACATCTGAAGAAGCTGATCATCAATAATCATCTCCAGTTAACAGCAGATTTCCATCTGTTTGGCTACCGCACACTCCTTTGATTTTTTTTTTTTTTTAAATACATGGTCACAGCCTAAGCTGTAATTTTAAGAGATACCATCACCTCTAAGCCGCTTTTAAATTATTAGTAATGTAGTCTTGAAGGACAACATGTAGATTTCATCTGATTAAAAAGTATGCAGATCCTATATATGTAAAAAAACAAAATAATGAATGCCACCAAGTCATATTGTTGTGATCAGATCAAATCTCAGTTTCTCTCAATAAAGGTAGAGCCTTCCTTCCATTACACCATTAACTAAAGGATGAATAATGCTCTGGACACGTTATATTCACCAACTCAATCTCTTCTGGAAGAATGCATCAAAACCTCCTTTCTTTTTAAAGAAAATATAGAGGGTAATGTGGGTGTGAAGACAGAGAGACCAGCAGTATTGAGCAGTAGCCTCACAGTAAGAGGATAGTTGCATGAGAGGGTTAGATGCTGGAACATGAGCTACCATCTACTGGGGAAGGATATGCAGTCAATAGCACAGGGGAACCTTGAATAACAATCTGCAGAGAAATAAGTTTGGGAGAGTGTTTAAAGCAGGGAAAGTTCTGTTTGCATAAGCATCCAACAGTTTGGATACTATAACTCCCAGACAGGGCTGGATTTAAGGGTAGGTCACCCAGATGACTGCCTGGGGTGCTGTTTTTGTTGTTAGCAACAAAAGGGAAAATAGAATATTTGAAGTAACATTTCAAGTAGGGCTGTCAAGCAATTAAAAAAATTAATCGCGATTAATCACACAATTAAAAAAATTGTGATTAAATAAATGGTATTTTATTAGTGTTTAACAGTGTGATTAAATATTTTGGATGTTTTCTGCAATTTCAAATATATTAATTTCAATTACAACACAATACAAAGTGTACAGTGCTCACTTTATATTTATTTCTGATTACAAATATTTGCACTGTAAAAAACAAAATAGTATTTTTCAATTCACCTAATACAAGTACTGTAGTGCAATCTCTTTCTCGTGAAAGTTGAACTTACAGATGTAGAATTATGTACAAAAAATAACTGCATTCAAAAATAAAACAACGTAAAAAACTCTAGAGCCTACAAGTCCACTCAGTCCTATTTCTTGTTCAGCCAATCACTCAGACAAACAAGTTTGTTTACATTGCAGGAGATAATGCTGCCTGCTTCTTATTCACAATGTCACCTGAAAGACATTGTGAGAACAGGTATTTGCATGGCACTGTTGTAGCCAGCATCACAAGATATTTACATGCCAGAAGCACTAAAGATTCATATGTACCCTTCATGCTTCAACCATCATTCCAGAGGACATGCATCCATGCTGATGATGGGTTCTGCTCGATAACAATCCAAAGCAGTGAGAACCAATGCATGTTCATTTTCATCCTCTAAGTCAGATGCAACCAGCAGAAGGTTGGATTTTCTTTTGGGGGGGTTCGGGTTCTCTAGTGTCCGCATTGGGGTGTTGCTTCTGAAAGCATGTTCCACACCTCATCCCTCTCAGATTTTGGAAGGCACTTCAGATTCTTAACCTTGGGTCGAGTGCTGTAGCTATCTTTAGAAATCTCACATTGGTACCTTCTTTCCGTTTTGTCAAATCTGCAGCGAAAGTGTTCTTAAAACGAACAACATGTGCTGGGTCATCATCTGAGACTATTATAACATGAAATATATGACAGAATGCAGGTAAAATAGAGCTGGAGACATACAATTCTCCCCCCAGGAGTTCAGTCACAAATTTAATTAACGCATTATTTTTTTTAAATGAGTGTCATCACCATGGAAGCATGTCCTCTGGAATGGTGGCTGAACCATGAAGGAGCATACGAATGTTTAGCATATTTGGCACATAAATACCTTGCAATGCTGGCTATAAAAGTCCCATGCGAACGCCTCTTCTCACTTTCTAGTGACATTGTAAACAAGAAGTGGGCAGCATTATCTCCCATAAATGTAAACAAACTTGTTTGTCTTAGTGATTGGCTGAACAAGAAGTAGGACTGAGTGGACTTGTAGGCTCTAAAGTTTTGCACTGTTTTGCTTTTGAGTGCAGTTATGTAACAAAACAAAAAAATCTACATTTGTAAGTTGCATTTTCATGCTAAGGAGATTGCACTACAGTATTTGTATGAGATGAACTGAAAAATACTATTTCTTTTATCATTTTTACAGTGAAAATATTTGTAATAAAAATAATATAAAGTGAGCAGTATACACTTTGTAGTTTGAGTTGTAATTGATATCAATGTATTTGAAAATGTAGAAAAACATCCATAAATATTTAATAAATTTCAATTGGTATTCTATTGTTTAACAGTGCGATTAAAACTGTGATTATCACAATTAATTTTTTTAATTGTGATAAATTTTTTTGAGTTAATCGCGTGAATTAACTGTGATTAATCAACAGCCCTAGTTTCAAGTATTCCGTATATGGATTCATTTTTCACTAACCTCCTAGAATGTTTTGGATGTTTGTAGAATCTCATGGAACCTTCCAGACTTTTTGAGAACTGCATTTTCCTTGAATCTCCTAGAATGTTGTCAGCTACGCGCTTGAGGTTATATAAGGGCAAGGCCTTGCCAGTCAGTCAGTGAGATATAAGAACAAAGTGAAGTGAAGTGAAGTGAGAGCCCAGCTGCAATATTGTGAACCTTACTTTATTGTGTAATTGTGAAAGCGTACTTGTGTTTTAAGACTGAAGAGTGTAAGTAGCTACTAATAAAGGACATAGATATCTCTGACGTCTTATTAAATATCGAACCCCTACCTTAATACTGTCACTTCTTTTGCCATGCTTAACATGTAATGTTTGATGGTTCTGTAAGACTGCAGAACATAGACTTTGCTGTCGGATTTGAAGATGCCATCACTGCTGCCAAAGAAATGGCAGAAATCTTAGGAGTTGAGCCTGTCTTCAAGGAAATTTGTATTCAGCGGAAGAAGAGACAGTTTGGTTATGAGGGCAGAGATGAGGTGATGGGAAGCTCGGAAGAAAAATTGAAGAAAGAATTTTTCTGTTTGCTCACTGACACTGCTCAAGTATCCATCGAAGAAAGTTTCAGACAAATGAAGCACCATAAAAAGACCTGGAGGGGTTTGTATGACCTTAGTAAGCTGCCAGTGGATAGGAAAACACTCGAACAATTGTATGGACCTTCACTGGACGTTGACACATGGGGAATGTTCGGCCATCAATGATAGAGGTTTTTATGTTGAATTGGACATCAGTCACATTTTTCCACACAGGAAGCACTCTCCACTCCAAGTTCTCCAATTCATTCATGATGCAGAGCTGACGGATGCTTTTCCTAACGTGTGGATAGCTTTGAGGATTCTGCTCATGCTGCCAGTCACAGTCACGAGTGGTAAGTGCAGCTTTTCGAAGTTCAGACTCATTAAACATGTCTTTGATCAACGATGGCTGACGAGAGTGACATCGCTTGTTATTTTATTGCTTGAAAATGCCATTGGCCAGTCTTTGGATCTCTCTGACGCTGGGCTTCGGTTCGCAAGGGCAAAGGTGAGAAAAGCGACCTTTAGAACTAAAGACTTAGGGTTAATAGTCTAAGGCTGTCACTTACTGTAACACTATTTAATACTTGTCCACCCAATGTTGGTGCACAGTTCAATTTCTTGATGTTAGTACATTTCAGTTATTCTTAAAATTAAAATTTTTTCTTAAAGTTAAAAAGTATTCTTAAAATTAAAAAGACTATAACAGAGTTTAAAACCAAACAAACAAAACAAAAAAAACCTAGATAAATTCATGGAGGATATGTCCATCAATGGCTATTAGCCTGGATGGGCACGGATGGTGTCCCTAGCCTCTGTTTGCCAGAAGCTGGGAATGGGTAGGGGATGGATCACTTGATGATTCCCTGTTCTGTTCATTCCCTGTGGGAATTGGCATTGGCCACTGTCGGAAGACAGGATACTGGGTTAGATGGACCTTTGGTTTGACCGAGTATGGCCGTTTTTTCGTTCTATAAGTTAAGAGGAAACAATTTTTTTTTATTTGCTTACATATGGCAAGAATAAATACAGATTTACAGATCCTAGCATGACAGGGATAAATCATGCATCAAAGTTGTGAAATGAGCTACAAATGCAATAAAAAAATAAGGTATTAAAATGTTTAACAAATGGTGCGGGGGGGAGGGGAGGGGGCACCAAAGATGCTCCTTGCCTGGGGCATCATTTGGTCTAGGGCCTGCTCTGCTCACAGACCTTTTGAGAGTCACCTGCCTACTCAAAACCAGTTCTGGGTTTCAATTCTCATTTAAGACTCAAGAGCAACCAATAGGGTTTGGCAATGCTCTGCATTAACAGCACTGTATGTCAAGACTGATTTCTTTCCTCCTTGCATTTGAAACTTCACTGTGGGTCCACTGCCCAGGAATATATGGCGACAGCAAGGAGCATGTAATTTTAATGCAGTAGAACCATAAGCAGAATTCACTGATACAATTCTTCTTGCAAACCTATGTCCATTAAACCAAGGGCAAAACTCAGAGGGGTTTCAGCGATATATATTATTCAGGGAAAAACAGCTCTAGAGTTTTATATATATTACAATATATAAGGAAACTGAGGTACACAGTGTGCTCATGGAATTCCATGCATGATGATGACCATGTCTGGAATATGATGCTGAATCTGCAGTTCCATGATATTTGATTATTGGTTAGGTTCTCCCTGCATTAGTCCCCTAAGATCAGCTAATCTGTCCCACTGAATTTTCCCCAACTGTTTCACAAGGATGAGGGAAAGTTATTCATCCACCCAAACCAAAGAACAAACAGAAGGTTTGGGCCACCATGAGGTGGTCCTGTACCTCCTCGTTAGTGCTGAGTTGCCTTCCAGCTTCACTGGAACCACATACCAGGTCTTCCTTTACCAGCAGCTGCCCCTGGCCTTTTCACTCCTGGAGTGAGAGTGCACTGCACAGAAGAGGACCACAGAAAATGTCATACATATTTAGGGTTTTCCAGATATTCTTCACAAGCATGGGGAAAAACAATGAATCTCCCCTCAGTCCTTCTGTCCTTTCAGCAGCCATAGATACTACACAGACGGCTATCTGCAGAGTCAAGGGAAATGGCCACTTTTGTGCACTGCAAGTAGGAGATCCATGCAGAGGGACCTCTTTAGGTGTGGATCTGAGGGACACAATCTGGAACCATCTTTACTCAACAGTGTGGGGACTCACTACATTAGAGGACCCATTAAGGTGTATGTTTCCTTTCAAGGGAGTGCACACTTCAATAATGATGACACATTGACAGCATACTGATCAGTTTAAGTATGGGTTGATTTCTATTCCATATCAAGGACTAAACAAACAGACATGTGCATAGTGGCAGAATACGCACAAGTTTAGAGTGATATCGTCTTACAAAAACTATTTTTACTTGCACTGTGTACAGTTCCTTAATATATATGGAAGACTGCCATCTACTGTTGATATCAGTAGGTTTTTTATATATACAAACATTGATGTATACTTTCAGCAGGACCCGCTCCAAGTCAAAGTGAAGTCAATTGGCCCATAGCAGCTAGTTAAACAGCAAGAACTAGATGGCTCTTTTTAAAAAATGAAATAAGGTGATGCAGGTTGAATAAAAATTACTTTAAATAAGATAATGTCAGCAAATCAGGTTGCTTGACACTTGCTTATTAAATAATTTCAGATTGAATTTTCATTTCTAAAAAAGTATAATAAAATAGATTGTTAATGTACAACTACTTTCTAATTTGAAGAATGACAGAATAAGGCAATTTTGTGAATCAGAGTGAACATTTTACATTTTATGTAGTTAGTTTTGCTACCACATTCATTTGAATAAACTGACTAGATCCCCCCATCATTTCCTCTATCAAAATGTATCTATCAAATACTGGTGGGTTGCATCTCCCTCACTGACAATACTTATATCAGGTTATTCCAATTAATTATTTTTTGAAACTAAAATTATTGGCTCTGGCAATAAAATGCATACACAGCCATGTTTTTACTGATCACCACTTTGAATGTGACCAGCCTCTATTTTTGACAAATGCCTCAGTAAATCAATCTATGGTCATAACATGCAAGTTCTTTTTGGTCTAATTAACATAGTACAATTTGTTAGGCTGACTAAGTTTCCTTGCTCCAGTGTGATCCAAACAGTCAAACCCAATACAGTCTTGTGTCACCCTTGCACATTAAAAATATAAACACAGACTCATTGTCCTATCTGTAAAGGCTGATAATTTATTTAGATGTGCCTTATAAAAACCCTCTCATAATCTACCCGTGCACTATTGTACAGATAATGACAATTTCAGAAAACAGGTCTGTGGTGCAATTTATAATTAAAAAGATAACTAGACATTATAGAATGTTTTTCACCATTATTTTGCAGCAGTTTGTCAATATATTTGAATTTATAAATAAATATTTTCAGGACTAAACACTCTACTTCTATTTGTAATTATTATTATTTATCTTTGCAAATCCTCCGAAAGACAATGAAACATTTTCTCTGGAGTCTTTTTTTCAGACTTGACAATACCCAGTGCTGGCAGAGATAAAAGAGTACATCTAGGATATTTTTAGAAAACAATATAGGACTTTAGTTTCTATGGAAATGTAATCCTTCCCAATGAAGAGAAGAAACACGACATTAATCTTGCTTCTCTCAAACACACCTTCCCAGTTCAGAGTACAATCAGTGGATTGAGTTAATCTTTGTTTCCTGCCAAAAGGATTCAATATTTTCTAAATTTAGTCTGAACACAGAGATTTCAGCTACTTGTTTTCAGGGATTTTGTTCCAGGAAATTAATTTTGGTTTGAGAAAAAAGAAAATAAAAAAAGATGTACTTTATTCCTTGAAGGTTCAAAGCTTTCGTGGTGGAGTATCACAGTAAGGAACATTGTCTAGTAGCAGATCTTTCCTGGGTATAAGCACTGTAACAAACAAACAAAATCAGTAAGAATAATATTTTATCATAATGATCTACAAAAATATACATGGCCTTTAATATTTTTAAAAGCAATGAAACAGCTTACTACAGAGCATCTAGTTTTAAATTAAACCTACAAGAAGCACTATGGTAATTTCCTAAGCCAACAAAAATTTACTAACATTTTACTTCTGTTCCTCAGAAATCTCTTCCACCTCCTCCACCTATTTTGCTATTAAAAACATCCTTGAAAATATTTTAACTGTCTATCATTGCTACATTTTGCCATTTCTCATGTAAAGACATTTTAGCAAAACAGATAGCAAATTATAACGTTTCTGGCAATCCTGATTCCAATGTATTTAAATACAAATTTCAAAATGCATAAAACATACTTTAAAATATATAGACACCTCATTTAAAATCTGTAACATTTATTAATGCTGTACCTGTTCTTTTAAGAACAGCAGAAAAATCAAGTGTCAGATGACATTTATTGCAGGAGAAAAGAGCAGTTGTTGGGTTTTTCTTGGCTGTGCACTGTGCTAACTGCCCTTGGCTGTAATAAAGTTTTGACCATCTGGCTCCTTGCTTGGGAGTTCTGCACCTGAGGGCTGTCAGATTTGTACAACTGGCACCACCTACAAGCTGAGGCACCATGGCTACAAACACAATCCTGTACTTTGACTAGTCAGGCAAGTACTAAACAAAGGTACAGTAAACTTCTAAAACACTCCAAATTCCATTCCATGTGTGTAATCAGTCACGTCTCATCCAAAGTATGTTGTTTTTCCATATATTATAGAAAAATCAAGGAAATTGCTTCCCTTGAAGCTGCATTTCTTTTTCATTTTCTGGCTGTGGTACTAAAACAGTATTAAACACATTTTTAAATGGATTGAATAATATTTTGTTTGTGTTCTACCTATGAGGGAAACATTCATGTCCCAGTGTTCACATGTATTTTTTCCTCTACATTTTAGGGACAAGACTTTGTGCATGAGAGAGAAATACAAGTATAAACCAAACAGGATAGAGGAGAAAGAATGAACAAATAAAAACAACAAGGAGTCCGGTGGCACCTTAAAGACTAACAGATTTATTTGGGCATAAGCTTTTGTGGGTAAAAAACCTACTTCTTCAGATCAAGTGGGTTTTTTACCCACGAAAGCTTATGCCCAAATAAATCTGTTAGTCTTTAAGGTGCCCCCGGGCTCCTTGTTGTTTTTCTGGATACAGACTAACACGGTTACCCCTCTGATACTTGGACAAATAAAAAAGACTGATGGGGACAGAACCTCCTAACCTCTCACTGAAAAATAAAAGTTTGGCACACATCTCACCCATCACTATAGCAAACCCAAAGTGAAAACCATCAGGGTGCATTACATATGTGGTAAATTAGGGTGAGAAAAGCTCTACTTATATCAGTTTATTCTGCAAAATAAAAACAAGTTGACTAGTGCCAACTCTCTTGCACAACAGTGGATAATTTGACTTGACAGGCTGCACAGCAATGTCTCAAAAAAATCTGTTTAGTGAGATTCTGAATAATGTGACTAACACAAGCTCTTAGCTGCAAATCTCTTTTCTTTATCATTTTTAAAACTTTTTTCAGACGTAACTGTCCAGTGCTGGCTGAAATTAAAAAAAAAAAGTACACCTAGGATATTTTTAGAAACCAATATAGGACGTTAGTTTCTATGGAAATGTATTCCTTCTCAATGAAAGCAACAGAGGGTCCTGTGGCACCTTTAAGACTAACAGAAGTATTGGGAGCATAAGCTTTCGTGGGTAAGAACCTCACTTCTTCAGATGCAAGATGAACCTCACTTCTTCTTCTTGCATCTGAAGAAGTGAGGTTCTTACCCACGAAAGCTTATGCTCCCAATACTTCTGTTAGTCTTAAAGGTGCCACAGGACCCTCTGTTGCTTTTTACAGATTCAGACTAACACGGCTACCCCTCTGATACTTCTCAATGAAGTGCATCTTAATATCTCTCTCTGCATGACAGCTAATATCCACAATATTCTGATCACAGTTTCATAAATTCTTTAATGGTATTCCAAGAACAACCAATTAGATCAGGAATGTAGTCAATGCCATAGTACTGTAGGTCCATCTAGTTCAGCATGCTGGATGACGGTGATCAGTACCAGACGCTTCCGAGAAAGATGCAACAAACCAACTACTGGATAGTTATGGAATACCCTGTTCACAGAGAAAGTCTCTTCTTACCCTCTGGCACTTATTAATTGGCCTATTACCATGAAGCATAAGGGTTTGTGTATGCTTTCTAAAAAATGCTTTGCTTTTATCCCATCTAATGTCAGCATTAATTCTTTCATTATGCATCTGAACATCTACTTTTTTTTTCTTTGAACTCCAAGCTCTTGGCCTCAAAGATATTTTGTGTCAGTAAGTTCCACAAATTAATGATGTATTGCGTAAAACAGAGATGGATTTCTTTTTATCAGTTTAAATTACTGTCTAACATCATGGAATGTCTCCTTTTTCCTTTATAATGCGAACGTGTAAATAGGAGTACCCTATTTACCTTTATTACTATTCATTACATTCTAAACTTCTATAATGACCCCTTTGATCCATCTCCTTTATAATAATTCCATTCTTTTACTTAGGATAACCTAGAAATAAAACAGCAGAAGAACAGAGAGCTAGGCATGCCCAATTTCTTTATTGTTCTTGCAAAAAGGGGATTTCAAACCATAGACTACAACTTCATATTTGGGTACAGGGATCCAAAGCCTTCTCGATCTGACATACAGTCCAAATCATACACATTATGCATAATTTTTAGCCTGAGTATTAAAAAACAAAGTGTAACTTCAGCTGGCCGGTTAGATAACTATAAAGAAAAAGTAAAAATTTTCATTAAGGTGGTGCTTAGAGGCCCCATCGTGCTACATGCTGTTAAACACAGAGTAAGGGCAAAGCTTGGTCTCATTCAAGACTGATAGAGAGGAAACACTAACAGGTTAGAAATTCCAAAAAGACATCCTTAATGTTTATGTACCATTAAGCCAGTGGTTCTCAAACTTTTGTACTGGTGACCCCTTTCACATAGCAAGCCTCTGAGTGCGACCCCGCCTTATAAATTAAAACTACTTTTTTATATATTTAATACCATTATAAATGCTGGAGGCAAAGTGGGGTTTGGGGTTGAGGCTGACAGCTCGTGACCCCCCCATGTAATAACCTCACGACTCCCTGAGGGGTCCTGACCCCCAATTTGAGAACCCCTGCATTAGGCTTTAAGGAAGTTCACAGAAAGGACGACATCTTGCTTAAATGAGTGTGTCACTATTTATTACACAAAAGAAGAGACATAAAAATGATACAGGAAGCGCTGAGACTTTCCCTGTAAACTCAGTCAAATCTAGAACACACTTCTGACATACATGGATATGTGAAATTGATCCACAATGTATGGGTTTGAGTTTGCTCTTTTTGAGTTTTATTGAAAATAGACAAAGAAAGTTAAATACATAAAAGGCACTCATATCAATTAAAGTTTCACAGGATACAGAACTTCATGATGTTGATTCTAATTTAGTTTTCCGACTTGGGAGACAAATGACTCCTAGAGCTTAAGGCCAGCTTCTACCACTCCCATTCCTTCTCCCTCTCATCCCTGTCCACTCCTCATTAACCCACACTCAGTCCTCATACATTATTTCCTTTTCTTCACTCTCTCACCTTAGCAGAGGGATGGGCCATCTGGAATAGAATTTAATTTCCCCAAAAGTAGGAGATGGAGAGGAGCTGCTTGAGACTGTATCCACTTTCCCCACAGTAGTGGCAACACAAAGCAAGAGCAGGTGCCTACCACAGTGCCCATTTTCCTAGCAGATGCAGAAGGAGGGGGAAAATGGGCGATTGCACATATACTAAAACTGGAACGATACAGAGAAGATTAGCATGGCCCCTGCGCAAGGATGACATGCAAATTCGTGAAGTGATAATGGCAGCAGGAGTCCCAGCAAACTCAGGGCTGGCACCAGTTTCCCCGCAATAGGAGATGAAAGAAGGAAGAGGGTGAAGGATCTCCTGAAGTGTATCACAGACGGTGCTCTCTGTGATGCCTGAAAGCCATGAACATGCATGCTTAGAGGAAACACCAATCACATGTAGGACTATGGGAGACTTGAGGGCATGTACGAGACTTTTTTACTGGTTCACTTTTCGAGTTTGACAATTTCAGATGTGAATGAACCCAATACTGCAAAGATTTGACTGGCTTTAGGTCAAAACCAATCAAGCAAGCATCACAAATCTTCCACCAGACACCATAATTCGGCCTAGCCTCTCAAATCTAAATGAACCTGGCCCAAGTTTGGGGTAAATAATATACAACACTAAAACAAAAAGAAACACCCCCCCTCAGTTTCAGGTTTTGTCACTGAAGTTCAGCACAGTTCTAAATACCATTAAAAAAAAAAAAAAAAAGATGCTGTGCAGCTCTACTTACTCAGACTGTCAGAACCGGTGTGAAGTCCCTGTATAACAGATGTTCTGAGTAGAACTTCAACATCTGAACCTATTTTCATAAGCTGGTAAAGAAAAAACAGAGCAATTAAAACAGTGCAAAATTACTCTTGTAGACATTTTCCATGTTTGATAAGTATTAATCAAATATCGTCAGTATTTTTATATCTTCTGAATAATAGGGCATCTTGTATTTACATAGTGCTTTTTATCCTGGAGGGTCCCAAAGTGCTTTATGAACCTATATATAAGTCACTCTGGGGTACAACCCCCTGGGATGAAACAAGTCTACTGTTTGATAACACACACAGCAATAGAAAATACTGTATTTAATTGAAACTGCAGGAGGATATTTAGGTAGGTAGATTACCAGAGTAATTATATTTTAATTTGTGTCCAATTATCCTGAACTCCAGGAGGAACATCTTGCAAGAATTGTCATCAAGCAGTCAGGTTCTTTACAGTTCAGGTACGTTTTGGACTTCTCGCCCCTCTTTTCCTGCCCAATCTGAGAAGAGGAGTCAATGGTGCTGAGATGCCACAGGAAGGAGATCAAAAGCAGCAGGAGTGGCCGGGGGAAGGAGCAGTCCCTCTCCCTAGAGATCAGCAGCATTAGGAGTGTGTGATTACAACACTGTAATCCCTTCCCTATTTGAGAGGAAGCATGACAGAGGTCTCCATGTGCATGCCCCTTGCCAAAAAGACAGAACTTGTTAAATGGCTAGTACTTATTTGTATGCAGCGCCTTCCTGCAATGTATACAGCTGCACAAGTGAGAAGCCTAGGGGGAACAGAGTTTCTTACATTGCAAAGTTTCTCAGGTAGTTATTCTTCACTTCTTGTCCTAAAAAACTGTTTAATGTCATGGGTTGGAAAACATGTGCTATATTCTACTCTGGCAGTGGATGAAGCAACAAATAAATAGGGTCAAGATTTTGAAAAATGGATGCCTTAAATTAGGCACCAAAGTCTATGTACGGATACCTGAATAGGAGGCCTGATTTTCAGAAGTACTGAGGTGCTTGGGGCCAAACAGTTTTGACTGTTTCTGTAAAGCACTCTTTGGTCCAATTCTTCTGCATTAATGGCACTTCAGCATATAAATGCACAATAATTATTAAACATGACAGGTTGTGTTTTTCCCCCCCCACCATGGATATCATCATGGCCTTGCTGGAGACCAAGAATTTTATCCACTGATCTTTCACTCAATGAATATGCCAATTAACTAGCATCAAAAGAAGAGTCAATATTAGATATGTGCATTTTGTAGATCACCACTCCTAACAAATGCAGCTTTGAGAATTTTACCTGGCATCTTATCTGTACATCAATTAAAACAGTGTTATATCATTAAATTAAAAAATAGAACAGAAGACAGAACTTGATGCCTAGGATACACGCACAGCAATATTGCTGCTGTTGCTTGGCAACAAGCAGACATGCTAGAGAGAGTCCTGAATGAATGTTCAGAAGTGTTAACGTCAGTGATATGTGGGTGCTAGGATGCCAAGTACTGAACTGATTGTCTTAGTTTGTTTTTTCCTACAATATATGCTTAAACATATATGTGGTTTCTTCTAATGCCTCCCCTCATGGATTCAGGAGGAGTAGCATACATGTGTCTACAAGAGGATTTCTAAAGAGAATTCAATGAATTGGAAAATATGCTGAATTAGAAGAGTGACAACAATTCATTCACTTCTTCATCATGCATAGTAAAATAAAACCTCCAGTTCACATTGTTTCAATGTTAATAATTGCAGGCCCAAGTAAATTCATAATCTTACTGCTAATTAAAACAACCTTGCAAATGTGTTACATAACAGCCGGGAGAGTCTGAATTATATAGTGAGCTAAAAGAATTTTCTACACTGTAGTCCCTTAATTTACCAGAGAGATAAAGACAGGTGAGGTAATTAATGCATCTGTATTAACAACTCAATCACAAGCACTTGATTATTTGGGAGGGAAGGAGTGTGTGATATGATATGAGTCAGAACTAGTAGGCCCTATTGCCAGCTCTGCCAATAACTGCCTACATCTAAACTAACGAGCTAGGGGGTGACTCCCAGCTTGCATACACATACTCATGCTACTTCGATGTGAACTAGTATGAGTACATGTACACGAGCTGGGAATCATACCTCTAGCTCATAGCATAGATGTAGCCTCACTGTGTGACATTGGGCAAGTCACTTAACCTCTGTGCCCCATTTCATCCATCTGTAGAGTGAGTATAAGAGAGTCATTCATAGATTTTAAGACCAGAGGGCCCATTATGATCATCTATTCTGATAACCAGTCTAATACTTAGCTTGATTGCATAAGAAGAAACAAGCAAAATATTTCCACTAAATGGACAACAATTTGGAAAAACAATTCTAATTTTGTTATTAACTTGAAAATAGGCAGAGCAAAAATGGCTTTGAATTGTAAACATGGAAAACTGTTTTTCATACAATTTTTAATGTGAAAACTGCCATTTGTAATTTTTACATAAACTGATGGTGACAGCAGGACACAAAATAGAAAATAAGTTTGTACACAAAGTTCCATGAAATTACATTTTGAAATTCACAAAGCTCTGGTTGCGAGGCTCAATTAGTGTTTGCAAAGTGCTCTGAGATCCTTTGATAAAAGATGCTGCTATGTGAATATAAAGTATTATTAGACTTTATACTATTAAGTGGAGAATAGCATCACAATGAAAGTACCTCTGCTATTCTTTCAGAAGAGGTCTCATCTTGATGGTTTCTGAATTCTTCATTTATCTTTTGTCTTGCAGCTAAAGGGGGCAAGTAAAATAAAGTTGTTTAGGGTTTTGTTGTTGTTGTTTTTTTAATTCCCTCACTTATTATCAGTCCTTTGTCATTGGCTCAAAACCCACATTCCTTAGCAGCTAAAACCCATCTCAGGTAGACAAATTTGCCCCTTGTTTGTTGATGCTGCTCTACAGCCATGGTCCTTTTACTACCTATCCTCTTCATATTTCACTCAGACCAGAGCCTTGTACTTCAAGATCTCTGTGGAACTTGAGTGACAGCATGTTTTATTCCCACACCAAGCACACCAGAAATGTGTTGTAATATACGTTTAAAAAAAAAAAAAAAAAGCTCAAAATACTACTATATATCACTCGTATTTGTATCTGCTCAGTTCAAATATGCATGTTTACTATCTGATGGAGTTGTGGTATTCACTTTAAGAACAACTGTACACAAAGATAAGCAACTCGGGTGTTTGGTAGCCTAGGACACCTGAGATTCACTGTTTTAGAAAATCAACAAGACTACAATTTTAGAACCGCATGGTTCTGTTCTACTGAAAATTTTTTCATAACGTTACAGCTTAAAAAATTACTTACTGGCTTGATTCTAGCCAGAGATGTAATTTAATCTTTGGGAATATGTGGGTAATGGGCAGCATGGGGAAAGGAGAGATTTCCCCTCCTTATTCCTCTGAGATGGGTGAAGGGGAAAATCACAACAATTTGAGGCAAATACTCTAAGCATTATTTCCCTCCCTGCCTTGTTCCTCTGCTCCAGCACTTCTGCAATCAGTTTTTCACTAAAGCCATTCCTGTTTCTGATCTTTTATAGAGTGTGTGCATGCATGTATGTTTGGTGGAAGAGAGGACAGAAGACTCTTAGAACTGGCAGGGAGAAAACTCTCGTCCCTTCCTAAAAGACTGCTTTTTGCATTTTCCATAAACTGGTATTAATGGGCTCCCTCTTCCTCACACTAGCATTGTTGCTTCTGTTAACATAGCAACTTTAGAATCTCCTACTCAGTGTTGGCCAGTGCTCCAAGATCTGCTATTGTCTGCTTTCCTAACCGACCCTCATTGCAAAGAAAGGAAAACTGGAGGAAGGAGAGGAGAAGAGGGAAGCAGAGAGTAGGATCAAATTGGCTACCTCCCTGAAACAGCGGAATAGAGTTGATGCCAAAAGACCCTGCTCTGCACCCTACATTTACCTTTCCCTCACCACATGAACAGTTATTGAGGTGGGAAGGCAGGCTCTCAAGATCCTCTCTGACAGGTTTCAGAGTAGCAGCTGTGTTAGTCTGTATCCGCAAAAAGAACAGGAGTACTTGTGGCACCTTAGAGACTAACAAATTTATTTGAGCATAAGCTTTCGTGGGCTACAGCCCACTTCATTAGATGCATAGAATGGAACATATAGTAAATAAATGTACAAAAAAGGAGCCAAATTGGTCTTCCAAGCTTTATGAAGTTCTTTAACAGTTAACTAGTAATTTATTTTCAGAGTGTGAAACGTTTTGCATTTTGGCTCCCCATTGGACTGCTATGCACTAAACAAATGTCTGTATCAGCAAGAACAACGAGGAGTCCTTGTGGCACCTTAGACGCTAACAAATTTATTTGGGCATAAGCTTTTGTGGGCTATAACTCACTTTATCAGATGCATGGAGTGAAAAATACAGTAGGCAGGTATAAATATCCATCTTTTCATGTGCTCTATATTTATACCTGCCTACTGTATTTTTCACTCCATGCAGCTGATGAAGTGGATTATAGCCCACGAAAGCTTATGCCCAAATAAATTTGTTAGCGTCTAAGGTGCCACAAGGACTCCTCATTGTTCCATCTATCTGCTCTCTGGACCAGCCGAGGCTACATGCAAACTCCACTCACAAAAGAAGAAAGAGTTCTTTGCCCTGTTTGACTGAACCCCTTAAGCTGCTTAAACAGCAGCAGGTTCCAAAAAGGGGCTCATCTAGTTCAAGTCCCCTCAGACAGAGGGATGATAGTTGCTGTAAGAGACCTTCACGACCGGGGCATGCAGAAGGGAGGAGGGTCCTTAGAGCTTTTGTAGAGATGCAGAGGATCCACTAGGAAGACAAAAATTCTTACCTTCTAGGGCTCTGGCATCATTTTTAAAAACCTGTTGCCGTGTTCTGTGCAATGCTCTGAAAAGCTTCAAAACCTGTTAACAAAATACAAGTCAACAATAAATGTGTTTTGTTTGTTAATAGGATTTCTTAAGTAAAATTAATATTTTTTCAATTAAAAAGGTATTTTTTTTTGCATTCTATTGTTTCCTCCATAGCAGCTGGAGTAGACCCATTCTGTCAGAAATGTTCTCAATTCAGACTTTTTGCAGATAAAACAGAGATATAGAACACAGAAGACATAACAATTCTTGATATCTAAAATACAGTAGAACCTCAGGAGTTATGAACACCAGAGTTACAAACTGAGCGGTCAACCATACACCTCATTTGGAACCGGAAGTATGCAATCAGGGATCAGCAGAGACACATACACACACAAAAAAAGAAAAGGCAAATACAGTACAGTACTGTGTTAAATGTAAACTACTAAAAAAATAAAGGGAAAGTTAAAAAAAAGATTGACAAGGTAAGGAAACTGTTTCTGTGCTTGTTTCATTTAAATTAAGATGGTTAAAAGCAGCATTTTCCTTCTGCATAGTAACGTATCAAAGCTGTATTAAGTCAATGTTTAGTTGTAAACTTTTGAAAGAACAACCATAACATTTTGTTCAGCATTACGAACAACCTCCATTCCTGAGGGTACGTAACTCTGAGGGTCTACTGTAACTGAAGACACAAAAGAAGTTCTGGTACTATTTCAAGTCACCATTTTGACCTCTATGGCCCTACTCCTGCAAAGAGACCAGCACAAAAACACTCATGCCTGCAAAGTAAAATTTACAGGATATGGACTTGCAACTGTACAGTAAAAGCCACCCAATTAAGTGAAAATCCTGGGTATCATCAGAGATTAGTTTTACTATTAAATATTAGACAATGTTTTCATCCCTCAGCTCATAGAGAGCCGAGAAGCTCTACCAAAAACCTGGACCAGCAGAGGCTACAGTTCTCATAGGAGATAGTTCAATGGTTCTGAAATACTGACAGCATCAACTCATTTATAGGACAGTGTCACAAAACTGAATGAATAAGATGACCTCAAACAGCAGCTTGGAAAGCTTATGTCCAAACATTACATTTTCAATAGAACCACTTAGTGTAAACATAAAGATGATACAGCAAAACCCATCCAAACTGGAAGTTCCTCTCTACCAATAAGTACAAGATCAGTAGGTAATGACTTTGGTCAGGAGAAGCTACTCAAAAACACTGAATTACACGATGGAAATACGTATGCAAAAATGGTTTTTAAAATTATTAATTATTATTATTATTAAAGGTTATTATAAGCATGCCTATGCCTTTACTGAATTTTAGTAGATACTTATAAACATATGATGTTTATAGAATAGAATAATTCATATGCTTAGGGTTTTGGTTGAAATGTTCATGCTAATTAAGGAAATTTATAGGAAATCTCTGCTCTCTGTCAACCAAGGACAAGCACCAGAAGTGTCAGAGGAGGATACCTCCTTAGCCATAAAGTCATATTTATTACCTTCAAGTGTATTTACACAGACTCTGGAATGCATCTGTAGAGCATCTAGTTAGTTTTAACATTCCATATTTTCTTATATAGACATCTTTCAAATATACAGTATAAATGTGTTAGCTACTGATGTGTGCCTTGTATAGAATATTTGATAGGAGTCTTTTACTCCAAACTGTAAGTGTACTACAAATGACAGGTTATAAATCTAGGAGTCATTTGGTGAAAAGGGCAAGCAACCAACAAGGGGATTGTCAAAGAACAGGGGACTTCCAACCTGTAGAAGATACCAGTTTGGTATAGACATGATTTTTATCTCAAGAAAACAAACTTTGTATAATATTTATGTTTTAGAAAGAGACGTGGTTGTGTCAAAGAGTGGAAGGCTTTAGTCAGGATACTCCAAAGGGAGGTGGTGCTTAGGATGCATTATCAGAACTGTAAACTAAGTAATAAAAGTGGGCCTCTTCACCCCACCTCTTTGAAAGAAAAATAAAAAAGCCCCTTAATTTTAAACACAAAGAATTCTAAAAATAATCTTATTTAAACTGATTTCTTTTATAAACGCTCTAAAATTCTTATTCTTTAAATGTTAAGGAGAACTTATATGATTGGGAAATGTTTTACAGAAATTATTGGTTACTTCTAACCAACAGAAAAGGTGAAAGCTTTTCTTGTCCTCAAATTCCTTGGATGAATAACTTCTTCTGAGATGCATCTTTGCAAGTATTATTATATCTAAATGCAAGCCTTCATTTAATAACTGCCTGATACCATTATGTGAATAGTGAGATGTCCCCTGAACAAATATATCATGGTCATACTATTAGCAATTACTAATATAAGAAACCTCTTGAGTGTAAAAATATAATAATTAGGGAATGAATATTTATCTGACAATGCTTAAGCAATTCCTTACCAAACTCAGGAAGACAAGAAGAACCTCTCCAAGGATGGTGAGAAAGGACAATAATTTATTTGATGACCATTAAAATTAAGTCCTTAAGAATTATTTAAGCTTTTAAAAAACTATTCTAAGAGTTGAAAGACTTTCACATAGAAAATGAGAGTGTTTTGACTTATTTAAACAGAAATTTCAATGATAATTAAAACCTGATGGAAGTTAAGGCATTTCTCAAAAAAATCTACTATATAAAAAGAATGAGTTAAAACACTAACCTAAAGATGTTCAAGAGTTCCCCATAAGAAAAGCAATATAATCATTCATTTAAATAATTAAAACCCTGCTGCATATGCATTAGCAGATTGCATATTCATGAGCTGAAGAAGCTACTGGGACCATTCCATGAAGGTGTTGAGCCAACAAGTGAACAACACCTCTACAAGCAAGCAAACAGCAACAACACAGCTCAAAACAAGGAAGTCACAACACATCAAGAAGAAGCAACTTTCCAGTGCAGCACTGCTTCTGCATAATGATGACATCACGGAGACTTTGACACTATTGGTGAGACAGAGTTTGCAAAAGCACTGCCAAAGGATTAGAATTATATTTTTCTTGAAGTGATTTTAAGGGGATATGGAAATACTGTTATAATTTAAGTAATAACAGTCTTTCCTGTTAAACACCAGGTTGCTTAGATAGACTATGTATTCCTGAAAAGGAGACATAAGTTAACCGTGATAAACAGAGAAATTGTGGGCTTTGAGTTTAAGATTCTTAATAATTAATTTGCCTGTGTTAAGACTGCTCCTTGAATGGCTTCTTTTAAGTTAAAAACCTTCTTCAGTTTCACAGGACTTAGTTAAGATCACTTACCTCTGTCCAATTAGGTAATCCATGATTTAAAAAACAAACAAACAAACAAACAAACACCCTAACAAAACGAATTCACCAACCCTTAGACAAAGGAATTTCATTTCTATACACTGCACAGCATCTATACACTGTTTTATTTATCTATATTATACCAATGATTTAGATAATGGCATAGAGAGTATACTTAAAGTTTATGGATGATAACACGCTAGGAGGGGTTGTAGGTGCTTTGGAGGATCGGATTAAAATTCAAAATGATCTGGAGAAATGGTCTGAAGTAAATAGGATGAAATTCAATAAGGACAAATGCAAAGCACTCCACTTAGGAAGGAACAATCAAAGTTGCACACATACAAAATGGGAAATGACTGCCTAGGAAGGAGTACTGTGGAACGGGATCTGGGGGTCAGAGTGGATCACAAGCTAAATATGAGACAACCGTGTAACACTGTTGCAAAAAAAGCAAACATCATTCTGGGATCTATTAGCAGGAGTATTGTAAGCAAGACACGGGAAGTAATTCTTCTGCGCTGATTAGGCCTCAACTGGAGTATTGTGTCCAATTCTGGGCACCACATTTCAGGAAAGATGTGGACAAATTGGAGAAAGTCCAGAGAAGAGCAACAAAAATGATTAAATGTCTAGAAAACATGACCTATGAGGGAAGATTGAAAAAATTGGGTTTGTTTAGTCTGGAGAAGAGAAGACTGAGAGGGGACATGATAACAGTTTTCAAGTACATAAAAGGTTGTTACAAGGAGGAGGGAGAAAAATTATTCTTCTTAACCTCCGAGGATAGGACAAGAAGCAATGGGCTTAAATTGCAGCAAGGGCACTTTAGGTTGGACATTAGGAAAAACTTCCTGTCAGAGTGGCTAAGCACTGGAATAAATTGCCTAGGGAGGTTGTGGAATATCCATCATTGGGGATTTTTAAGATCAGGTTGGACAAACACCTATCACGGATTGTCTAGATAATACTTAGTCTTGCCTTGAGTGCAGGGGACTGGACTAGATGATCTCTCGAGGTCCCTTCCAGTTCTATGGTTACTTTGGTTTTATTTTAGCTACTGATAAAAACTCTCCACTAAGAGATATACAGTAGAGATTGTGTCTGAAGTAACCATTATTTACCGCTTGATTTCTCTCTCTCTTTTTCCTTTCTTTAATAAGTCATAGTTAATAGTTATGATTACTTTGCTCATCTTTAATCATGGTGTCCCTTAAGGCCTGGCAAGAATACATCTGACTAAAATTGGAGGGAGGGGGAAAGTCACATATCTGAATTGGCATAAAATGAGACATTTAAAATTTGGCTTGTGGTTTATTGTTTCTCTAGGCTATACATTTTTAGAAATTTTTGAGATAAAATTACGTAGCATCAGCACTGCTTTCTATCTTCAAAACAGAGTCTTATTAGAATCACATAGAATTTTGAGTCAGTGATATATAGGAGGTGAAACCAAAGGAACTGTTCCCCCAGTATTTCCATCAAACTGTCTCTTCTTTGGGTTAACATTTTCTCAAGCAAGTAATATGTCATCCCTTTATATATTTTTCTCTTATCTTATTTGTCATGTAGATTTCAACATTTAGTACCTCAATCTATAGCTTGGAGACCTTTGTGTCGACCCCCTTGGGGAATTCCACAAATAAATCACCACCTTGAATCAGACATAGTTACAGAGATGGAGGGAGATGTGGTATGGAACAGAAGGTTTGTTATTACTGTTTATTATTTACTGAGTGTTGATAATGTTCTTG